GGAGTGTTATGCACTGTACCACCTCCGCTCTGCAACCCCCAGCCCTAGTTTATAGTAAGTCGTACACTGTGGACAGGCATTCTATCCTGTTGGAAAATGTATCAGTAACCAAGTCAAATTAAACTATTTCCACTTGTTACAATACAATTACCTAAATCGGAAGGAAATGTAGGTACATCAACCAAATAACGCGTGTTTCCATCTCCATAGGTCTTCAAGGAGATCAATTATTTTGTTCTGGGCTTCTACTCATTAGCATCTCACGTAATATCGTTAGGTAGTTATGTCTATTGAGTAATTTACGCAAAAAATGTTTACTTGTGAGCTCAGAGCTGTGATTTTTAATTCAAGGTGAGAACACGCGCTGGTTTGGTAATCGTAAAACAAAGATTTTGTAAATTCTTTTTCATTCATGTGTACAGTTTGTTCTTTGTTCCATAAGTTGCCAATCACTTACTATACGAGTATAGCATATGAATTTGGAAGTACCTACGTTATTAAGACCCTGACGGTATTACTGGTACCGACCATCAAAAAACCGAGAAATGGAGATCATCACTCGGACAAATAAGATATGGGCGCGTATATTTGTAGCGTCGAGTTGCTTAAACGATACTGCTACGCTCAGAGACTTGTTATAACTAGACCGCGCGTAACGTAGATTTTAGATTTTACTATAAACGCCTATTGTCAAGATAGGATAGGCAACCAACTGTTCATCGCGGGGCAGACGTACGTTCTGCAGCTTGCTTTAGCCATGTTTATCTAAATTTTAGTAGCAAAAAAAGATAACATATAGCTGTTAACTGTTTTAATCGAATTTATTGGTATTTTATTTGAACTAAATTGGTATATAACTGCCTTACTCTAGTCCTATTTTGATTTATATGTGTATTTTGGTGGTGAACACGTATGGGAAAATATACTCTTAAAACTAAAGATGTAAGTAGTAAGATATGATTATTTAGCGGATTTTGATTCAATATATGCCTATCCAAAAACCCAAATGGGCTGTAACTGTTATTTATTTTTCTTAGACTGCTGATAACCATTTTGTTCACAACGCGGTGTGGTGTGGATTGAATGAAAAACCTGAACACATTTTCAGCAATTTGGCAAATTTTTAATGCATCGCTTGATACGTGCAACAATCCTCCACGATTTTTTGTAGTTCAAAGCTTTGAATGACTCTCTGATGCGAATATCGCACCTGCACATATGGAACATTTAACAGACTTAGCTATTTTTCTTGTAACAAAACCTGAAATATACTTAGTACCAGTAAGTACTTAGTTACGTCTATACCTAATAGGCAAATAGGTATTGCCGTTGTCTTGCTGGTAAAGGATGTCGAAGTTCTACGTTATTTTAAGTGAATGGGAAAGTCGAAAACGCTCGGTATTGCATTATTGTTTAACACCTTCGTAGGTACCTTTCTAAAATAGGCTTCATTTCCCGCAAATGCACTGTGGTGGGAGTAAATTTTTCTCTTCGAATGGCTCTGAGACATTGGCCCTTTAAACTTTTATCCGTTGAAAATCAGCATATTATTTAAAAATTTATTGACAGAGTACATGTTGATAGGCACAAGTTAACCTAAGTTTATTGGTTTATTCTCAACAGAAATTTATCTGTTCACTAATTCGAGCTAATCACGAGAATGATTAATGAACGGAACATCTAAAATAACAGCTTATTTCATTATATTGCATATCATCTCAGCGATTTTTGCCCCGCGGTGCATTGTGTGTTGCATACTGTGTCGACAACACCTTAGATACGTTAAGCGCAGTCTAGTTATAGCAAGTCTCTGGCTACGCTTTGTCCCAAATCGCTGGCTCGCTCGATTTTTTCACCTCCAACCATTTAAAAAAGAACGGCGCAACCGATTACAATGTAATTCTACAAATAGATTCTTTATCAAATTTGTAGACAAGAGTTTGAGAATTGGCAATATCGGCCAAAGAATAAACAGTACCATTTTGACTTCTTCGCTAGTTATGCATAGAATTGCACGAGTTTTCAATATGGATAGCCAACATCAATATGATAGGTGCAATGCCAAAATTGGGGTTTGATAGATCCAAAATTCACAATGCATTTTTAACTTCTCGTCCATTTATTTAAGAAAACTTTTAAAAAAGAACGGATGAACCGATTACGCTGAAATTTACCTATATACCTATATGAACGCCCTGTGTAATGACTGTTGATATAACATATCAACACAAACTAACTACAATATATTTTTTTGGAGATTACTCTATCCCGCGCCCATATGTCCTTGCGCCCTTATGTCCACGCGTCCTTATGTCTCGCGCCCTAACGGCCGCGCCCTTTCGGCGGCGCCCTAATGTCCGGTTCCGTATTGCGCACGATGCGTCAGTTCAACTTATCCGATCTTTGGAGTTGCTACCTTGGTAACACCATCAATTTGTAGTTGTAGTTCAAGTTCTGTGGCGCATTCTTGTCGAAAACACGCTTTACCAACTTCGGAACAGGACTTTGAATTTCATGTCACAATTTGTTTTACGTTTTCCATTAAAATACTGATATTTGTTTATTGCAGCATGGCGTGCCCGAAGCTTTTGTTTTGAGGATTGTTTCTAAATCAGGTAGTTATGCTTTTAAATTATTTTAGTATTTTTGATGTGTAAACAACGACATGCAGACGTTTGTTTGGGCTGGGTCCTCCTGTATGTGTAATATCAATTTTTTTAAGAGTAATTTTGAAATTAAACGTAGAGTTCGTTATTTTTATCCAAATTTGAAGTTCAACGTTGTTTTTGCTGAATGTTTAAGTTGCAATTTGTTTATTTAAGTGTAAAAAACAAATTACGGTTGAAAAAGTAGGAACATCTGGTCGTATTTCCGCCTTGTATTAAAAGGTATGATTTCGTCATTGCGATAACAACATTCATTATCACGTTGCGTTGGGATCGAGCGCCACCAAGCGATGCGGCCTTGTCCCTGGTCAAGGTCGGCGGGAGTAGCGGTTGGCGTAACGGTCTCGGAAGCCTCGGATAATCAGATAGAGAAGACGGTCAACTCCAGAGGTCTTTGGCGGCGGTCACTGGCGATAAACTTAAAAGCAGAATTACGGCACACGGCAAAACCATTAATTTCTCTATGTAGAATACAAGCATGAATTATAATTCACTGTACCTACGAGGAATCAAATCCGTCCCCCGAAATCGTGGTGTTACTTTATATAAACTTCCTAATATACGAAAAGGGAACGTGGGAAATTCCAACCGACCGATGTATTGGGATGATTCTGTCCAAAAATTAAAACTTCTTTAATTAATTACTCGGCTCGGGATCATCCTAACATTCTTAATTGGTCTTAAATTCCAAATTAATTAAGAGCTCTACAATTGAGACCACTGATGTGTTAATCGGATGCTGTTTTTACAACTCATTTAATTAGCAATAGGTAACGAAATGAAATTTCCAAATCATACTGCTAACAACCCCCAATGTCTCTTGGAATTTAGGTCAGGAGAAAGGCCAAACCAATACTTGCGTGAACTTGCATTGCCTTGCAGTTATAATGCTCGGTTTTTTTATATCATTGGAAATAATTATGAAGTCTGCTAATAATGACTTAATAGAGCTGAACTTTTAAAATATTAATCGCCCTTGTCTTCTACATGACAACGCTTTCGAACGCTACGAAAATATTTGAACTATTCCCATGGGAACAGCAATAAAGGGAACAATTAAAGACGGTTTCTTCTTTTCTTTATCGGGCGGCTCTACAAATTAATCCATTACTTTTTCCTACTATTTCTAACTCAGAAAACAGTAATAAATATTTTCGGAGCAGCAGTCTTTGTAACGGAGCGCTTTCCAATTCAATCGCATCCATATACCGAGTATTCAGTAAAGCTGGTAGACCATAATAATATACAGTGTAGTCATAAATGATGATATGAAAACTGAGTGCTTCGTTATAGTGTGTGTTCAGTTCTTTGTGCGCCAAATATCATATGCATGACCAGAATTGTGCTAGGTGTTATTCAAAGTTTGTTTAAATAATTCCTTGGGGTGGTTGGAAGTGATCGATGCTGAGATTCCTAAATTAATAAAATTAAATCTGTATCGAGATTTTTTTCATTGTGGCGCCGGACGTGTCTTGAGAAATTTATAATGAAGTTTATTTAATTAAGTTAGCTGGGCAGGTGGTGGCGTAGTGAACGTTTGCCATTGCACGCAGGAATGTATTCAAGTGAAAGTATATTATCAGTGTGATATTGCTCTATATGTGCCGATTAACATATTATTTCCGTGGAGAAAGAACCTCATGTAGTTGGATTTTTCGTTGTATGTTTCCCTTCATTTTTTGCAGGCTGCAGTTCTTATGTCTTAGCAGTACCAGAACGGGGTCCCTCTAATTCATTTTGCTTCTGTTTGGTATGAGAAGATCGACTGGAACATGAATACTGTTTGCGTTTGATTCAAGTCCCTTCCCGATTGTGTCTGAAATTATAAGAGAAAGGAGAACCGCCATAGTATACAAATCAAATGAGTTCTATTCGGACCACCTACTTCGATCTGATTGCTATTAAGATTCGAAGGTGCTGAGAAATGTCCATCGCTAATATTTCCCCAGAGTTGCCAACAGAAAGTATAGAATAAGTGAAGATTGTAGTATCGGCTGGGGGACCCATAAGATCAGTACACTATAGATGAAAAGGTTCCTACTACTACCGTGGACTGAGCTCCTAAACTCCCAATTTGACTGATCGAAATAAGTAGAAATCATTAACTATACAGTGAAACGTAATACAAAACCGGTTGTCTTGCTGGAACCCGTTTAAACATTCGAAAACGCTGTCATTTGAATTTCCCACCCGAAATATAATTTTTTTTACAAACACGAGAGACGATACAGTCAATTTTTCCCACTCCAAATCACGGGCGTCGGGCGTAAAACCTAGGTCAATCTTTTGTGATCTGTAGTATAAATGGCATGATAAGTAAATCAATTTAACAAGTTGAATGTAATATGTTTATTTATTATTATTCAATTACAATGAACTGATTTTTGCTCCTTTTCTTTGAGGTTCGCAGCCTTTCTTCGTAATTCCATTGGCATGCAAAGCATTGCTACAAAGGCAACGTTGGCAAGGATGGTTATTGCAGTGTTTGCCCACACAACATTCGCCTGATAAAACAATGTTGAATATAGATACGTTAAAGGTATGGCCAAAGCTTGCCCAAAACCATTTAGCAACGCGACAGCTATACCTTCCGGTTCAGGGAACGTTATTTCGGCTACGATTTCAAAACTCAAGGCCCATTGCGCTCCCAGATAAAACCTACAAGGTAAATATTTTGGTATCACAATTGTCACTTATGGCACTGACCCTAGCAGACCCATGGAAACGTAAACTGATATGATATGCATTTTGAAGGTAACTGTAAAAACAGTCATTGTCAGGATGGTCATTAGTTGTAATGTTAGCAACGCTTCTCTAAAAAAAACTCAATGCATTTCCGTTATTGCTATTATTGGCGACTCACTTGTAGCACTTATACCGGTCCAACACTATACCACAAATAATAGATCCAAAAATTCCAGTTGTGACTGCAAGGAGGCCAATGCGACCGGCATCTAGGAAACCTTCCTAAAATATTTAGATTTTAATCCAAGGTTTTTAAGTGCAGTAGTCATATAGACGTACATGGCATACTCACCGGATAGTATGCTAAAACGATTTGGTTCAGAAGAGCAGAAACCGCTCCACTTACTCCTAAGTCTATGCCAAATCCCACAACAATGAGCAAGTACGCACGATTTGCTACTAGCTTTTTAAGAGGTTCGAAGAATGTAATTCTTTGATCTTGGCAGCACATGGCGGCGTACGATGGTGGTGTCTCTGGCTTATCGGGACAGCCTGTGATAAATAAATACAGTTCCTGCAGTTTCGCGGGTAACCTTACAAATTAACACAACAATAACCAGCACTGTGCATGTGATTGCCACGCACAAGCTCATGGTAAATAAGTCGCCTTCTATAAGTGACCGATCATACTGATTCCGTATTAGAAGCGGAGGTACCGCGTAACCGACAGCAAAACCCATCTGTAACCAAATTTTGATTCGTCAGCGAGTATTACTTTTCCTTCACCTGTACTCCAGCAAGAGCAAACCCACACGCAGACGACACTTCATTAGCTCCAAACCAAACTGCAGCCAATTTTGCGGGTAGAGCTAGAAATGTTGAGGTGCCTATCGCTACGAAGGTTTGTCCAACCAATAACACCCAAAATCGGTCAGGAGATGCCGACAGAACCTTGATCCAAGCTCCGATGGCTGTACCAACAATGCCAACAATTAAAGAAACTCGAACACCCTAAGATATGCACTTGATGAAGTCCTTCTACAATCAATTCCACTTACGTACTTATCCAAAATGTAACTAACTGGAAACAGGAAGATAATGTACATTAGTAGAAACACCATAGATGTCCAGTTAACAGCGTCGAAAGATATCCCATAGTACAGTACAAGTACGTCCCCAATAATGCCATACTGCATCCACTGCATGTTGCCACTGGCACAAGTAAATACTGATACCACAAGAACCACCCATCGCATCTTGTATAACTTGAATGACTGTTCCAATTGGGCAGGTAATTGTTGCTTGCTGTCCATTGCTTTACTGTAAAAGATTACCTAATTATTTAAACGTATAGTATGCTTAGGTGGGGTAGGAATTTTTGTTCAATGAATTGCAGTTTATACAGCTGTAGTTACTAGGTGTAGTAAAAAAAACATAAAGGTCTTAATTGGTATCAACATAAGCAATTAAAATAAATGGTTGGCAGCTCATTGTTGACTTTTATGGGCACGTTATCCGTGCTGCATTTCAAGTAATAAATTAAATTTCTTGTTGCAAAAGAAGAAATTTGTAATTACTTTAATTCAGGTAGCCATTGCCATTTATACTTAGCCTAGCTTTTGTCGAGACAGTAGGTAATTACTCTAGCATAGCTTAAAGTCTGTCAATGGGTTTCTCTATAATCTGAGAAGCACAACACGATATAAGGCGGAGGCTACCGGATTTTTATACCATTTTCAGATGTGATCGGTGCCAATCTACCTACCTATATATAACACAGAGTCAACAGTCAAAGGCTACGATCAAACTTAAAGTAGGTATTTGTAATTTAAAAAAAAATCCGCATTACAAAAAATTGGTGTAGGTACCATATTTAATACTCGATTTAATCACTGCCTAATGCAGGTCGTTAGAAGGGCTCTGTATGGATTTGTGTCCTAAATTACAAAAAAGATGTAACCTTCATATGAAATATAGAAAAGTTTGAAAAATTCAAAATAACTCTAATGATGCAAAAAGGTTGCAAGATTTTAAAAAACGGGGTTATCAGGTGCCTCCGCGCAACCACGGCAAAAAAAATGTAACAATGTAATATACAGTGATAGGTGAGCTAATTAGCGCAATCAAAAAGATCAAAATAAGTGAAAATACCTCAAATTGTTAAAGCTGCAGTTGCAAAACTCAAAATAATAGTTATTTACATATAAGTCAGGAAAATGATACATTACTGGTGAGAACATATTGAAGTACGAGGACCCTTTGGGAGCGAGTACTTTAATTTCCGAGTCAGGTAATGTCATTTTACTGACGAGTTTTGTATTAAATTTTACTTGAAATTGTATTTTAATATAAAATTTTATACAGAACTTGATTAATGTAAATCTGTCAGTGATGACAAGACATTTAGCAATATCACAGATGCGTCCGGTAAAGTGATAGGTACTGCCAGTAAAGTGACAAGCAGCAGGGAACGTAGTCCGCTCTACCTCTGTCATGGAAACTAAAATTTCCTGACAGAAAATAGGCATAAAAATGAAAGTTTTAGGACGAGTTTGGGAATAGTTATTTACACACAAAGTCCCGAACATGATACATTACTGGCGAGGAAATATTGAAGTCCGAGGCCCCTTTGGGGCAGAGTACTTTAATTTCCGAGTCAAGTAATGTCATTTTACTGATGACTTTTGTATTAAATTTTACCCGAAGTCGTATTTTAATATAAAATTTAAATGTTTATATGCAACTTTTGCTTAATGCCAATCTCTCAGTGATCTGAGGAGTCATTATAGACATTTGGAAATGTCACGAATGCGGCCGGTAAAGTGACGATGCGGCTGGTAAATTGACAGATGCGGCCAGTAAAGTGACAAGCGGCAGGAAACGTAGTCTACTCTGCCTCTGTAATAGAAACTAAAATTTTCTAACAGAAAGTAGACATGAAAATGATGGTTTCAGGACGATTTTGGGTAAAATGGTTTTACAAAAAGTCAGGACTGCGTTTGTGTCAATTTAATCGCAGTCTTTCTCAGAGAAGAGAGTCGTGTCAGCTAATTTTTGTGAGCCTTTCATTTTGAAAATCATGATGAGTTACAAAATGGACTCCAGCAGCCGCAGCCACAAAATAAAATAGCCGCTGTAAAATTCAGATAATTGTTGAGAAAGAATAAATCGACAAAATGCTAAAATTGCTAGTAAAATTGTATGAGATTTGGGGATAGGGAAGCAGTGGTTGGTAAGGGCATTCTAGGAAAATGAGGAAGAGACGTCTTTCAAAGGATCCATATTACATAAAGGCGATTCCTAGGAGCGAATTTTCGGAGGTTAGGTCTTCGGAGAGAGTAATAACCCATGCTTTGTCTATGGAACTGAAAGAAGAAAAACTTCACCTGATTGTCTCAAATCCTAAACTGCAATTGCTTAAATTTCCCACGTTTTACGCATTTTTAGGCACCATCAAAAACTATTATCAGTAATCACGCACTTCTAGTTACTTTCGACGCATAGCATTTTATAAAGATATCTGATGGGAATATAACCACCATCGCAGTGACGTACTAAGCACGAGTAGGCTTTAAATAACACCAATTGGCAAATTACAGGAAATGAAATTTGCTTGCACAATTTTCTAAACAATCAACAAATTTTATAGGCACTTCAATGTATATAAGTCTAATGAGCGGAACACTACATGAATGTGGTTAAAAAATTATGCTTATTTTCGTAACTGAATATAAATTGTAATGTAGGTAGGTAATTTCCAACATCACTTTGCTAGTTTTCTACACGAGTGGGTAATGGTACGAACAAATTGTATCCAAGGATTTAAATGGGGGAATAAGTCTGATAGCAATTGGTAATTTGGCTGTTAAATATAGTTCAGTAGATTCGTTATCTACCGTACATTGTTATAGTACCTATGTCTGTGTTTCTTTTTCGGGTTTCATGTTTTTAACAAATCGTAGCAAGTTAATGAATCGAGCAACCCACTAGCTTCAGGTTAACAGGGTTCAATACTACGAAACTCCTGCCAAACGCAACGTTAAGCTAATTTATCCTTTTATTATAGGTATTATAGGTGTAGGTATTCAAAAACTGCTCATCCAGTTATTCGCTGATGATGATGGCAGCGAAACTGCCATTTACATACCCTCAGTTTTTTTCAATTCACGGTTTTCGTTCTAAGTGGAATTTCATGGTGCACTTTCTGCTTTAGAGCAAGGTTTATCAGGTTGCATGGTAACTTTCGGTCAATAGGGAAACAATTCTCAGAGTACAGTATGTGACGTCACTCCAGTCCTATTTTTAAATTTGACATGACACTGCTTTTGAAAATTTTAATTAATTTCGTCCAATTTTGAATATTTTCGATATTAGTTGTGTCCTTTGAAGAGGTACATATATAAATTAAAATAACATACATATATCTCCATGCTGCGATGTGTGGTTATGGAGAATAACAACACTTTTGAAACTGAGGGTATGTAAATTGTTATAAAAAATAGAAACAAGGCCGTGAAATGATGTTTTTTTACTAAGCTCTATACTTGTTTCGTTTTAGGATATTCTTTCGTATTTTCAGAAAAACGAACACTAAAGATTAAGTCTGTTTTCTAACCTCAAAGGCTACTCTGGATAATTATAAATATTGGAAGAAATGTTAGAAATGCGTGAAGCGATTTCGTCCGAGTACCAGCAAGAAACTCCCTTGTCAGGCCATGTTGTTAACATGCTGAAAATGCTTGCTACAAATCTTTTAGCTTTTGGTAGATCAAATTTATTTTTTTGGTAGCATCTTTGTACCCACTGTTTCCGTAATACCTGGTTTTTGGGAGAAAGCGAAAAATTTTTATCTAAATTCTAAATGTTTCTCACGTTTATTCCATCAGATCAAAAAATTGATAATTCAGAATTCTAATTGTTCAGGTTTGCACTGAATATTACTTTAAATTCTTGCCAAAACTCATTTTATATTAGAGTGCAAAATTTCATTTTAACGGCGCCGAACGGCGCATAATTCGCGCCGAGTTCCTGTACAATAAAAACGGACTTCTGATAAAATTCGCGGCTCCGTGAAGTTAGCCGGGTCAATTTAATTTTTGCGATAGCTAATTTTGTAATAAGGCGCAAAATTTCATTTCAAAGGCGCCAAACGGCGCATAATTAGCGCATAATTCCTGTATAATAAAAATCAAATTTGTGAAAAAATCCGCGGCCTCCGTGAAGTTGGCCCGGTAAATTTAATTTTTGCGATAACTCAATTTCTATTAGGGTGCAAAATTTCATTCTATCGGCGCTAAATAGCGCATAATTAGCGCCTAATTGTGCATATGTTTCAATTACAAAAATCAGAAATTTCCCGGCCAACTTCACACGCCTAAGGATACTTAATAATTACTCTTTGGTGTAAGTAAGCCATCTACATATATGGTACAATACTGTTGCAAGAACGTTATGTTTCTGATCCCGAATCTGAAATCTTACAAAGAAAGAGCGCCCAATGAAAACTAAACTTGAATCAATACACGCCAGCAGCTTAGGCAAATCCCTAAGTATCTAATATTATACATTGGAAGGCATCATTTTAACAATGTGATTTCATCTTATGAATTGTCCACACCACATATGCTGTTCCAATCAATCATCGATTGCGACCCTCTACGCATATTTAAATGAGCTAATATTTAAAATATACCGGCAATTTGGTAAGATTTTTAGCAAAGCTTTCTGTGTATTTTTGAGGGTGTCTAAACCTCATGTAGTGGTCCTATTAGAATTGAAGTTTGTAAGTGGGTCAAAAATAGTAAACCGTTTCAAATAAGGGTCATGAATTGTGGTAGTGTCTGTAATCTTAAAATATTTAAAAAGCACATTTTTGACCTATCCATGTCTTCCTGAAATCCTCCTTATTAAGGCGTAGGTACCCTATTATGTATCTCCCTTTTAATTAATACTTACGCCAGGGTCCAGTTGCAAAAAAAAACAATAATAATATGTTCGGTACAGGTGATTCACCAGGTTCTGTGGGGGTGTAGGCGGAAGCGGGGACTCGTGATCGTTTGCGGAACTTACGTAGTGTATTCTTACGACCCTACCGCTCTCTCTTAGGGGTGGATACAGTATATTCGTTGTGTCGTATCGTTGTCAACTTGTCGCGCTACGGTGGAGCTTGTGTACTTAGTCGTAATAGATGTCTCACTATAGTACAGCTTGGCTTCGTCGTTGTAGTGCCCCACTATAGGACAGCTCGACTTGATCCTAATGCTTACTGACAGCTCGCAGTAGAATGAATTCTAGCCAAAGTCTTGAGATGGACGAAGCTTCTCCAATTCCCATACAGCGCATGCTTGTTGCCTTAATAAAGCCTTGTTCGACAGTGGGGACGATTTTTCGCACAGCGCGGGGAATTGTGTAAGTAAATAGCAGAATCATTTTTGTACACTGTACAGTATAGGTAGGTGTTTCTTTAGTTTGTGAACATCGCAGTAAGAAATGTTTACAAAATTGTATTAACATAGTGGATTCAGGGGGGCGGCCCTTCGAAATTTTTGAATTCGACAGTTTCTAAAAAAATTATCGCAGAAACTAAGATCAAAATTTTGAAATTTCAAAAAAAATGTGAAACTACACGTCCTCTCTCGCGAGCATTGTTGCTCAAACTTGACCATATTTGGGTAGTCGGTCGGTTTGTAACATTACCAACGGAATCCAAAACAAAATCGAAATTTTGAAAGATAAAACACTTCACTCATTCCTCATTCTTTGTTAAGAAGCCCTACCTATTAAATGGCGGATCGTTAATCTTGACAGCCATTTTGAACCATTTATTGGTTAGTGTCTTTTTTTACTACCAATCCCAGATGGTTTTCATGTCGTTTATCCATCTCAGGTAATCCAAGAAATGCTGACTCGGGGTTTATTCAATAACTGCAAATGTAACCCAATATGTCCCATTAATAAAGTGAAATCCGATCTGATACCTAGACTCTTCTTCCGAAAATAATTCAGAAACAAAGCCCCAAAGAAAAGAATAATACGTGGAACGGTCGGCCGAGGTCTTACAACCACCCAATTTGTTTTTCCAAATGTTACCACAAAAATAATAATTTCAACTCGCTAAAGTTTTGACAATTTCTACTTATTTTTACGAAGAGATCGAACAATTTAAATCTAAATCTAAAAGCACTCGTTACACGGCCCTTGGCAGTTTGAAAATTAGTCAATTTTTTGGCCCCGTGCAAAAAGTTCTTATCGCTTCCGACTGGAGTTTCCCACTAATTTTTTGGACCTGTAGTTACTTCAGACAGTCAGGTATATCATTAACGAATGGGTTTGGTAAACTTGCGTCAAAAATTTCGAAGGCGAATTTTGATTACATGACTAGGTCTATTGATATACTTCGATATTGGGTACACTTACCAAAGATTTACCCGACATTAGTAGGCGATTTTTGAGCGTATCTAAACTACGCAAGTTACATAACACGCATCAGAGTGAGGAAGTTTAATAAGCAGAACATTGTTACATTATTCTAATACAATTAAGCTTATGTAACAAATGACATGGCTTTCCATTATTCGAATGTATACGCAAGTTGCGATTTGTAAAAATGAACTTTAAGCATCACAGAATTAATCACAAATATTTGGAAAAATGCTTGGTCCGATTAGAGTGGAGGTAACCATATCTCCCCATTGAGTCCCATTCCTTCCGAAAGGAAATCGTTACGTTGACACTCGGTTACGTTGGGATGTTTCTTAAAAATCTCTTTTGATAACTTACTAAATTTGATTACCTATAACAGAGTGAGCAATCACCAATTATCTAATAGTGCTCAATACCTCGGCGACCATATTCTTTGTGTTAAGGTTACCATTACAATAGAAGGTATTGTTATTGACGTCGTCTTCTGATTCATTGGATTTCATCGGCCATAGTCGTATCCAACCACCTTCGGAACTAGGTGCCATGTTCCAATCCCTTCCATTGCCCCAACGTCGTTTACGTCTCGTTTCGTCTCCGTACTGCAATAGTGCATGACAATTACCTGTAAAATGAGTGAGTACGTACATATCTATGTTGAACGGGGTCTTCGGTGTTAAGTCTTTGATTTATAAGCGTTACCGGTTGAATTTTTGGAAACAGTGGCTTTTGAGCTGAAAAAGGGCCCTTAGTCAACGCTACGCTGTCGTTAATGCGTACCGGGGGACAATATTCTAGGTTTTCTTCGGTTAGCCGAATGAACACGTGATGTGGCAGAAAGTTTTCGCGGCTTCCTCCTCCATTTATTTGCAGCATTCAAAACTGTCATTTTGGTTATTTCTTTTAATTGACACCCAGAATCCGACAAGCTCTCTTCGTCCCTTTTAACATACCGTCGTGTCATTTGACATAAAGGAATATGACCCGAAATGACTTACTCCTCATCACTGCGACTGTTGCGCCAGATATCAAACACCGAAAGGCCCGTGTTATGCAAGGGAAAGCCTAATAAGTCAAACATGTCGTGCAACATCGGTTTCTTGACCATAATGTCTACGTCGCAGTCATTTCCTAAGGCAGGTCCCATGTTCACCTAAAATAATGGATTCGGGCGCTTTGTTTAGCCGCAATGTTCTTACCTCCAGCAACCAAGGCCTAAGAGTGTTGTCAATGAGTACGTCAAACCCAAAGAACTCGAAACAGTTTACAGTTTGTGGAATTTGTGAGGCATGACTGATGAGGGTTAGTATAACCAAAACTGATATCCTTTGCCAAAGAAGCCAATCGTTTAGTCCAGCTTGTTGGAAGTACTTCCTAAGACGCCTTAGGGTCCACTTACATCCTAAAGCACTGTCAAATTACAATTTCCAAGACAAGCTCTTACCTGATCCCACACGTTCTTTCATTTCTCCATAACCAGGACTGAGCTTATTAATCGAACAGTTTGTCAAGTGGCGAAATGGATTCCTTAAGTCGTTTAAACTAAATTTATCAGTACCAAATCGTGTTAGGCCCTCTCTATACATGTAAACTGTCAGCGGGTAGTAGGAGGGGATGCAGACGTACAGTCTTAAATCGAATTTATAGCCTCCGATTAAAAGGGGTCTCTCAATGTATCTTTGGACTATTGTATTGGAATCGTACGTAAGCTCGCTTAATTTCTGTGAACATAAAGCACGAGTACAGAGTTTAAAATCGGATGGTGTGGTTTTACTATTACCCTAAATAAAAAAATTCCCCTTCCTTGACTCTGACCGACAGGTTTACAAATCCAGACTGGCTTTTCTGCAAAATGTCGATCACCCCCATATTTTTCTGACTCGGGGCGACTCCGGCTACATTCTGCAGCTAACTTGGTGTACTCCAGTGGAAGATTGTAACCCATGGGGCTACGAGGCGCAAATAATATATCTTTAATAAAATTCGTTTAAATCAAGTGGCAGACAAAAACTGCGAGTAAATAAAAAAAATATATACCTAAAGTCGTAAATTGAGCCGTACACCTTTCGCATGCATCTCAAATACCGTGCGAGATTATCCTTCCGGCATATGGCAGAACCCTTCGGAATGTGGTTGATATACTTCAACAGAATCAGTTTCCAATTAAATGCTTCAAATTAACTCTATACGCACCTGCCAACCATAAAGTGCTCGATGATGACTTGTCGGAAACCCAGACGTCTTCCACCATAAATTCCAATGATCGCCATTTACTGGATTAAACTCTTTCCATCCACGTTCTAGACAGACCTACGCAAAAATTCGTTTTAAGAAGGGTTGCAGTCGCACGATGCATTCATTCCTAAACGAATATGTAATAAGCGTCATATCACGCAAACTATGAAGTAACATGAGGGTTGAAATAAATTACTGTATCTATATTGTAATGAATTCGCAATGGGCACGCAATGCTTGCAGTGGTGTGTAGCCTTGACCCAAAATGTGGGTTAGTGCATAGTTCACCTATCTTTTGTTTTATTATAATTAATAATTATTATGTACAGGCTTTGGTACAGGTAGGTATACACGTAAATACTAGTATTGCATTTATATCGGGGCTCGTTGGGACGCTCCATTTCTACTATTGGAAAATCGTTCCGTTACCCTTGAATTTGATTTGTAAATCAAGCACCATCATTTTAACTTTTTCGTAAAAGAAAGATTGCACTATAACTAGTGCTACATTATCTTTCTAGCGTCACCACAGGATTTGTGTAAAAACATTCGACTTTCGAGAGTAGAACACCACCATTCTGCTCTATCACGTTTAGAGGCACGCACTAGGTTCGTTGGCCTTACGCCAGCCTATGCCACAATTTTATAAAGCTAGCACAATTACTTGAAACGGTTTGAAAAAAAAAGATCCATATCAAATATGCCTTCTCTAATTTTTCTTTTAAAATAAGTATTAGGATCAATATGGATGTGAAAAATCCAAGATTTCGACATTGAAAGACCTGTGCTAGCGACACAGCACTTGAAAATATGTCATTTTTCTTACCATTTTTTGGTTTTTGTAAGTTTTACTCCTGAAGAACCGATTTTAATGCAATTATTGTCGTATACTTTTTTCTGACAATTTAAGCCCTTAACCATCTCCGCAAGTCTAATAGTTTCCGAGATACGGCGCTTCAATTATTGGTAAATTTATTTGTTTTACAAGTTTTGTCAAAATTTGCATTTTTTTGTCGCAGAAAGTAAACTTACAAAATATGCACGATGAATTGTCGTAAGTCGTGAGTCGTAATAAACCTGTTGAAGAAGTGCTAAAAATTGCGGATAATGAAAGCAAATTAAATATTGATTTTTGTCTTTTGGTGGAAAAATGTCCATGTTTAGATGCGTTATTCATTCAAACCATAGTATTGTGAGTAAGCTTTCTGCTACTGTCACAGATCTTCTATATTCGGTGTCCCTTTTGAATGGTCGAGCAAGGTCGGCCAAAAGGAAAAAATTCACAGATTTCGCAATCCATACAACAGGTAGTGGATCTTGCTGAAGAAGAAGAAGATGACAGCTTTCTTATCATGGGAGATGCTGGGGATCCAGAGGATATCAACATTCTAGCTCCTTCTGTGCGGATTTATGGAGACTCCTCACCACAATGTCCCCCCAAACGAACAAAATTATAAAAATGTTCATGAGGTTTTTATACAAAAAAGGCAAATTTGATTGAAACTGAAGAATTTACGAATTTTTGAAACGGTGCATCTCCAAAACTATTAGACTTACAGAGCCGGTTAAGGGCTTGAACTGTCACAAATGTTGTCTAGTTTAAAAAGGTATACTACAGTAATTGCTTTAAAATACGAAAACTAAAACTAACCAAAATCTAAAAATAATAGAAAAAATTGTGTATTTTCGAGTGCTGCGTTGCTCGCACAGGTCTTTGGATGTCGAAAACTTGGATTTTTGACATCCATACTCAGCCTAACAATTAAAAAAAAAAAAGAAATGACACATCTGATGCAAGGTATTATGATAATTTGACTGGACTACAATGCGAGAGTTTAAAAATGCGAGAATTTAAAAAGTTGAACTGATCATGAGTTGGATCTCATGTCCTGTTGAATACGTCATTATAGATAGCGAAATGAATATTAAAATTTTGGATACATTAAACAGGTAGATATATACGTTTGTATAAGGAATCTAATCTTTGGCCATCAATCAATAAACTTTTTACGTTACTTTTGATTCTTTCAATCCAATGGCATTATGTTCTAAAGTTGTCCAAAAACTCCTGAGAAGTTATTTATGGGTATTCATTTAAACTAGCAATATCAAAGTGGAGAGTAGGGAATTAAACAATTTGGGCTACTGTGATGTTACAAGTTGTCGTTTTCAAGTATAGATCCCAGGACCAGTGCTAGTTCGAGGCCCGGGGCACAGTCTTGAGCCTCAACAAGCTGGCCGTGTCACAACTGGGAAGGTCTGGTTTAACAAAATCGCCCGAGCCGTTTGGTAGGTTCAGTCCGGCCCTGATAGATCCCTTTGCGACTAAGGCAACATATTGACTAAATCCACCGAGCGAGATTAGCCAAGCAGTGCCTAAGTCTTAGAAGATAAATTTTTCGATTAGCAAGGCAAAACGCCATCACTGGCTAATGGGCTACAGGACAAGACGTCCAACGATGAACTAAATTAATTTTTCTATGCGAAATTATTGCTTCTGAGAATTGACTTCTAAGATCGCCCATTCCAGCTAAACACATAACGTCCTGATATGTGCTAGTATATTGAAATTATCTGTAGTGAATAGGTTTTTCCATAAGTTTGTTATTTCCATCGCTGACTAATAAGTAATGCATACGATAATCCAGTTTGGATATCGCGGTTTGATAAATTTGAATATCCCACTAATTTCTAATCATAGGAAGTGACACATATCCTTTATCAAACCTACGTCCCCCACCTTTTTATGCATGTTAATATTATTATACAATTAAGTAAGTCCAGTGCGCCAATCAGTCAGATATTTGGTCAGCTTGATAATTCATTATTGTAGATACCTTTTTTTTTAAAATAAAGTCAAAACATCACAACTTGATAACCTTCTTTTTTAAACCTGTTCTTTTAATAAGGACCGATAATTTAAATTCCGCTCATTCTATTGTTTTTCAGCGATACGATACCATGGTGGGGCACCTTCGCTTGTTATTCTGTGTGATACTTACAATATTCTTAATGACCCAACAAGGTAAATTAGTGCCTGTCTTATAGCTTTTAAATTGAAATCGTTTTTAGGGGCATCCGAACTGTGCTGGAAAGACGAGGACTGTGATTTAAAATGCACCCAGGGTGACGAGGCGTACTGCATGTGGATTCAGTGCACCTGTGACACTGCTGGAAAATGATTCACCAATTCGTTCATTTTAAACCCACACAATTTAATTGAAGTTTATGTATACAATTACAATTACAAAGTTGGATAAAAAAATTACTTTTGAATTACCTCTCTAATACAGCCTATAGCATGACCTACACTCTATGTTATCGATTGCATATTAAATTGCATGGTGTTTAAAAGGTTGCGTAATAAATTCTATACAGGTGGTATCTAAATTTAAAAACAGAAAATTATAATTATGGACACTGCAAATTAGAACCTATCCAGCACTTGTCATAAGGTCGACATGGGTTTAGTGTACACGTAGTGTAGCAAATTAGAATTTTCAATAACATTTTAACAATAATTTTGAATTAGTAACGTGAATCAAATTAGGTATTTCTATTAGAATGGTATAAATGTTTATCGTTTCCGTACATTGACAATGTTAATTTGCTTATTGCTCTATTTGTTTTACGATTTGGTTATGATGTGATTTAGGTAGTGCCAATTCCTTTAACTAATTTTGAGAAATTTCGAAATCCATTATTTTGATCATTACCGTTTTTCATTTACGTTATCCGGCGGTTCGGTGGATTAAATAGCGAAAATTTTAAATGGAAATAGGACCGTATCAAACGAAATCGTTATTTCCGTGTTATTAAAGTTGCCCCCAATTTCCACTTTAATTGGTTTGGTTTGTATGATCGGCAATGATAAGAGCATCTAAAGTGTAGAATATTGTTGGCTTCGTAGTCGGTACCTACTGCAAATGCGTAAAAGCAATGGAAAAACAAAAAACTGAAATTTGCGGATTTTGTCTTTAGTTCGCTCTAATGCTATTTCAAAAGATAAAAAAATAATTTTTTCATTGCCACTATTTTAACTCCACAAGACGGCTTTCAGAGATTTTTAATATTACCTTTACAGTTTTTTACAGCATGATAATAACTTTTATGCTCTACTTGTGACAGCCATGCTCCACTCCAACAACACTGGATCCCTAGTGGAGGATATAAACCTTCTTTTTCGAAGTTACAACTATTATCTATTATTAACTATACTTGTAATATCCATTGTGTGAATCATACAAACAAACATCAAAATATCGTTTAGTAGGTTTACATTACAGACGAGAAAATTACTCCGTCCCATTGCTATTCTTGTCGCGTCCGTGTCTACAAGTATAGATACTGGTTTTCCATCTACTAAATCGTCTACACTAATCGAACTATTAGATTTGAGTGCCTTCCGAGGGCTTAACGTAGCAGATCGATGTTTTGCTCTTTTTTCCATGGGCCTTTCGACATCGATTCTGGAAATGCCCAATTTCTCCGCAATTCCAACAACGAAACTGTTTGTTTGTTTACCATATGGCAGCTTAAACTTCAGCAGTAAATGCCGTCGACAATTTGTTTTGAACGGCGTCCTCCTCTACTACGGCTCTAGCGATGCTGATTTTCTTCATTGTACCTTGAGCTGCTTCCATTTCGCGAGCTTGGGCCAACGTCAGTGCCGGTTTAGGAACATTTTCTCCCCTAGGCACAGCCCTTTAAGCGCCCACCCGACACTTAAAAAAATCCTTTATTAAAAAATTAGTTATAATAGAAAATAAATGGAATAGTATTATTTGCGTTATTAGATAACAAAAAATAATAATTTTCTAAAACTGAATCGAAAAAGGTATTTTTAAATAATAAAAAAGTCATAGTTCTCTAAAACATTTTTTTTCTAGCCTTTTGTGAAGCAAATTTATCCAAAATTTCCTCAACATTTATGCGGTCTAAATATATCATTACTCATGTGTGGAAGTGCCAATTCATTAAGTCTCACTCTGCCGAGAGAATTTCTTGAAAAGTTCATAGTAGTCTCGCTCTGCGATTACGTATATCAATTTGATACAAAAATTGCAGCTTCTCAGTTTTCATATCCTGTTATATAGTAGGTAAATGTACACATTTCAAAATGAATGTGTAATTACTGTTAATCTTTGTAGTAAAAAATGATACAACACTAAGGAATTAAATTTAAAAAGTCGTAAGCACATCGTTATGGGAATTTCCATTCAGTGTGCGTACTGCTCATCATGACTAACACCATCTCTAAAGTTATCGACTGCTAACTTATTCAAAACGGAATCAGGTACATCGTGATAAACAATGCGACACAATCTTGCAAAATCCGTGTCGAATTCTTACAAAGTTTCAATACGCTTCTGAACCCTATTTCAAGTTGAGTACGATAAACCTCCGCCATGTGAGGGTGACTGTAGGTCATTTCCACCCTTTTCACTAGTTCCGTGTAATTAGAACGTTGTTCAGAACGCAAGCTTGCCTTCTGCACAATTTGTCCATCCGTTCGCATCCGCGGCCGCTTCAAACTGGATAAAATAATGAATAAACCGTTTAGTCCTATTAGACTGGTTCACTTTTATAAAAAGCAGCGTTTTAACAGGTTCTAGGGGCATTTCAGACAACATTTGGCCAAATAGGCGTTTTTTACTAACTGAGACCTGCTGAACACGAATATCGATGTTGGCATCTCCAAATCTGAACAGGAAGTTCAGAATTCAAGATGGCGGCCAATTTCCGAAAATGTTGATCTTTTCACTCATGCGACCGATTTTTTCGAGCTAAAAACGGATTACAATGTTATTCCAGACGGAGGTACGGCACGATAATAATAGTGAACAAATGTATAAAAACAATGATTCCATAGTTTTTCTAACGTCAAAGTGCGTAAAAGTGGAAACCTTTTTTTCATAGTACTGTATGGCTACTGTTTAAATTTGTTCACATCGTGTAATTATTAAATTATTTCTGTTTTGGCAAGCATTTTGGTTCCTGTGCATCGTGTGATAGACATCCGCGATGTTCCATTACCTCACATATGGAAGAATTTCCTTTCATTAGAGGAAAACAAAAGAAACGAGTTATTGTCGCATCACCTTGAAGACGCCTCATTTGACGGCGTACTGGTGATTGCTGGAGGCTTCAGTGATGAAAGAAAAGTTTTCTGTAACCGTCAGACGATACAGATTTCCTCCTTAGAAGCTTTTCACAAGGAAGCTGATACTAGGATACGTCCCTGGCCCCATCTCGGTTAATCAAGTAGGACTTCCCAGAGTGGAGAAGCATTGCCAGGTTTCAGTAGCTGCGAAGCTTTAGATCTAACAATTCTGAACTCCATTCTCTTGGGATTCCATCTAATCTTTTCTAGTATTTCGTCCATTTCTCTAATTACGACATATCAGGTGTAAATCGCAAGAGGTACTTCTTTGACGTTAAACTCTGAAATGTCGCTCAGACTAGCATATCTATCCTTGATTTCCTGGAGAAAGAATTAAAAATGGCTACATTCCCATTCTCACAACGTTAGCTTAATTCCGAAGGCTGCTCTAGATATCGTCCTTTGTCGTTGTAAATAGGATTGCTCGTCAAAACTTTGTTAATGTTGCAAGGCTCAACTGATTTGTACTCCCTATATTCTCAAGAAGACGATTGACCTAACACCATGAAAATAAGATAAATTTGTCTTCACTTTTCTATATGCTTTCATACTTGAATAATAATAATATATCCTGAGTAACGGTAATTAATACCTAGCAAAATAAGAATCTTCCGAAACACCGCAGTTTAGTTTAACTTCTTCATTTTTTTCATTTAAAAATTAACGTAAAATTCGAAAGATTGTAGTTATCTAGACTTTATAAGGAGAATTATGCAATATAAACGCATGTCGGGAATACATGTGTCAGGATTACTAGAAACAATCGTTTTGCAAGTCCTCCTTTGGGCAAGGAGAGCTAGGAATTTCGTAATTCTTAATTTTACGCATCCTGCCGCTAAAAAAACTATTACATTATTGTTAAAACAATAGTTAACTATTATTATCGTGGCGTACGTCAGGAATAACATTATAATTAGTTTTTAAATCGAAAAAATCGGTCGCATGAGTGAAAAGATAAACATTTTCGGAAGTTGACCGCCATCTTGAATTCTGGACTTCCGGTTCAGATTTCGAGGTGCCAACATCGATATTCGTATTCAGCAGGTACCAATTAGTAAAAAAAGCCTTGTTGGCCAAATGTTGTCTGAAATGCTCCTAGGGCAGAAAAACTTCGAAAAGTGAACCAGTCTATATGGTGACATTATATTTAACCCATAGAGGAAGTTACAATTATAAGAGTGGGGGGAAATGCGTCATCATTGGCAGTGGCGTATTAAATCAAAATTGACATCGTCTCTTTTGTTTCATGATAAGTCAAGTCGACATAACTAACCATCAGCGCAAGGGAAGTATATAATATGATGACGACTTCCATCGCGTGTTATGCTATTTCCCACCACCGTTAAATTATCTCCTCTTATTTTTTGCTCGTAGGATTTGAGCCCAAGGGAGCTCACCCGCCGTGACCAAATTTGCGACAAAGTGGAACACAAAAGTTAACACATGTAGCACGCATTGTCCACTGTACGTACATTTTTGTTCCATTTTACGTACGTACGTCCAGGGGACATATATGTACGTCTGATGTACGTTCCAAGTGTACGATCACAAACTATAACTTTACAACGTACGAAGTACGTACATAGTGCACCGGCACTTTCGGTCAATTGATAATTTACCCATAACTATGACATGCACATGCACTTCGCTCCTTCAGGTACCAAAACCGGCTTTCCTTACTTTCGTTTTCTAATTTCTGTTGCTGGACAGTACGCCTGAGTCATTACTCATTAGTATCAAAGTGGTGATAGTATAACAATTTAATGGATGTGCTATTCTTGAAGTTCATTATTTCCTTAAACAATTATACATGGAAGGCAAAATATCGCGATTATTTTTATCACAACCAGTTTCATTCTTAAGTTCTACTTGAAACACCTGTAAACTTTACAGCATTTCGTCTAATGTATAAGGTTTTCCACCGAATACATTTTTTCGTAAATGCAAAAGAACAACTTCACTGCATGTAATCGTAATTCAAACGCACAAGAATATTCCCCAGCGTATACAATCATGCTGTTGTTGAATAGAAAATCCACCGAAGCACACGGCTATTTCCCAAATAACACAAGTACGTGCATTGCAAATACACAGTACGGACAGCGCTGGATTTACGGACGTACATTTCACGTATACTTGCGGTTCATGTACGCACTTTTCAGGTTCATAATACGTGATTTTTGCACTATTTTGTCCATGCTAGGTACGTACTTTACCATACGTACTATGTACGTGAGCATAAGTAAGTACATTATACCTACATAACAGTACGTCTAATGTACGTGCAGCAATGTACGTACCTAGAATGTACAAGAATTACCTACCATGAACGTGATATGTACGTACATGAACCGTAAGTGTACGTGAAACGTACGTCCGTAAATCCAGCGCTGTACGTACTATATGTATTTGCAATTTACGTGCTTGTGTTATTTGGGAACGTGTTGGCATGATCACTAATTAAAATTTGATACGAAGTGATAGACAGTAGCATTTCTCAGACAAAGAAGTTAACCCTCTTGGGGCCTAAACTGTAAGTCAACTGAAATACATCCATTCTCAAGCATGGAAAAATCTGTCCATAAGAGTGTAGTCGCGATGTCAATTAGGGATAGAATCGGTTGTGTCGCGATGGTGGTATGGTAGCAGAATAAACCAAATCCGTCGGTAAGTAAACGCATAATTTTGACCCTTTTATCGAGGCGGTTTATTGTAAAGGAGCAATTTGTACTGTGGTTTCCTCATAGGCACTAGTGTTATGACTATTAGCTGACGTAATTGTGGAAGCTTGAGGATGCCAATAAACTTTTGTTGCGAGAAGAAGAGGCTGTCATTGGCGGGATTAGTCATCGCACCTTAATAACCCATTGTGAGTAAATAATTCACTGATTTATTGTCGTTATAATTCTAGTTGGACAATAAAGCAGTTATCATCAACCTATGAATGAAAACCGTGTTTCTGCCGCATGAATTCGCTATACTCTACCCATTTAATTAAATTTATTATTTATCGATAATTAACTTATGGAGGATTCGCACTGCGGACCCAATAAAAAAAATCATTCCACTATTATGATCTTGTTACTCATACAAAAATGATGAAGTAAATTTTCTACTAACCTACAACCTACCACTACCACTTGAACTCAAACTTCCCAAAGCGAAAGAAGTTCAATGAACCAAACACAAACAAAGTGGAAGGCATTACAATAAATTGAACTGGAATACAAACCGATCACACGCATCCATTTGTCATTTCTGTCATTGGTTTAGCAATGAATGAGTATTGATTTTGGTGTCATCTTTCAGCATTTCAATGAATTTCTAGTGCCATTTGCGTTGAAAGTGTAAATAGTACTATTATCGTTTACTGCGTGGAGCAAGCAAGTAAATGCCTTGTACGAACCTGAGTAAGAAGTTGAGGTCCCGAACCGGAATCGTTGAGACGAAATACAAATGGTCCTTCACCGAAGCACTCTTCCATCATTTTTCCAAATCGTTATGCCAATTACCTACACAGTAATTGAAAGTTCCATGACTGCGGCACCTGCTATAACTAGAGATGTGAATCCCCAGAGTTAGAGCACGGTTTGTTTATTCAAGATTTAGGGGACCTATAGGTCGAGCACGTGCTAGGTTGTATAAGGGACTACTGACTGTGCACGCTTAGTTCTGCCAGACGTATACAAAATGACACGCGATGGATAAACATTCATTTAGCTCGCTTGCCATTTAGCACACCTTATAAACATCCCCCACTATCGGAGGTTTCAGCCGTATTTTCTACAAATAGCTGGTTTCCGCTTCATAAATTCAGTATACTACCTTGCGGTGCATATTTCCGTTTCATGTAAAGTTCAACATTCACAACTGCTCGACCTTTACATGACTAGATGAGAGCTTTGAAATATTCACATCTTGATAACAGTTCATAAACTGCATTAAAGGTTATCTGGCTTATCGTTTCTTTTGAAATGCTACAAAACAATTACATCTATTGATCGCTGCTGCTACGTTTATATTTAGAATAATGGCAAACTTGTTGCTGTCGACAATCTTAATTTCTGGCTTTCATGTTGATTCAAATCGAATCAATGCGCATCCATCAAATCAAAAATGAAGCTCACGACAAGTTCATTAAGCAACCACTAATGCCTATTTAAATATAGGTTGTCTACAAATTTAAATAGTGGAAGTTCTAACAGAGTGTCGAAAATTGAGGAAAGTATTTTTGAATGAATTGGAAACTACACACATGAATTATGAAGACCATAAGCAAATCCATAAGACATTCCTCAAGTACGCGGATAATTGCTGATTGATACCCTCCCGTATCATTTAGCCTCTTGTCATATCATGTCCAGAATATGTAACACCCTTAAATCTTTGAATAGGTCACTGCATTTGGAAATATGAGAGAGAGATAGTTACCTAGCGACGAAACCGCTTAGAACTGACTACCCTACAGAGAAGCGGTTTTCTGTTGACATACTTGATGTTAGGTTAGAATAATAGTAGTAAATGACCGAAAACTTAATCTTGCAAAAAAGTGCACTATCTAACAAAAATTACAGGCCACCAAATCTCTATGTCAAAATAACAGATCATTCGCGCCCCTTTCAATCCCCTGTAACAATTGACTCAGACTGGGTGGTACGAACACTGATGCTACGTTACGTCATTCTATGGTCGGTTCTTTTATGTGTTGGGACGTGAGACACCATCGAGTACGTGACTTGGTACTGTAAAGTTAACCAAGACCGAAATCCACAAAAATATTCCGCAAAAGAAAAAAATCCTGACGTTAATTACGAAAACACTTTACCACCCTGTATCTAAAAAATTAGAACATTAAGGAGCTACGTTCATAGGAAGTTTTTTCCATAATATGGGTCCAAGAATCACCCCCTTAAATCCTTAAACAACCCTTTATTAATAAATTTCGGTCTACTTTAGGTTTGCGAAATTTTTTGTCTTTAAGGAACACCCTGTATAGATCTGCTATGTCAATGTTTGAATTGAAATTGATTTTTAGTACAAGGGTGATCGACACGTAGTCAAAGAAAATGTAAAGGGCACGTTCAGACTAATCTGTAGTAGATAACAACACAAAACAAATAAATAAAAAGAGTAGTGAATAAAGCGGCACATAAAATATTGCGTAAGCAATGCTACTCTCTGACACGGAGGCAATCAGATATAAACACTGTAATTAACACTGAATAAGAATCAATAATTTGAATGCATTTACACTAGCAAAAGCAAAATTTTGACCGCGGATTATCCGTCGGCGTATAATAATGGCATAAACGTGACGTTAAATTTAAGAAAAGTACTTTCCGATGCACAAATAACTAAATTTCTCTTAGTCCAATCGTTTTAAAACACAACCAAGATAATATATATGAGGTAATACTTCGGAATAAAACAAATAACGTAACTAAAGCTTGTAAATGTCGGCTTCGGACAAAGCCTCCGCAACACAAAAATAATAGTAGGTAATCTAGTTCTCGATAAGTATGTTCTTCAGCAACGACACAGGTAATATAACTAAAATCCGATGTATCGAAACAATTTTCACGAGTAATGTTCTCCAACCGCTTTGTTAATGCTTTCGATTGTAATTCAGAAACAATTATCGAAATGTAGGTCTACAAACTGTATGTGTAAGTAGGTCACAGGTAGAATTGAAGTAGAATTTACTTAGCCGGTAATGTAGAAACTCATCTATGGCGTGCTTCAATCAGGTAAGATGGCGGTGGACCTTCCCAAATGCATTTTTCTTGCGTAATATTGAGAAAAGCCTAAAAGTGATTATTCAACGTCAAAAGGAAATTGGTAATTTTCGTTAATATACCGGAAACGGTCTTAGAAATATATCTGAAAATGCGTCAGCGAAGTGTCGAAAGCAAAATAACAAGAGAAAACTTCAGTAAACTTATACAGCACCCGTAAAAGGCTGACAAAAATTGTCGAGTAACCGTAATGAAGTGTATTCTAGTACAAGTAATGATCGAATCTCGTCTTTGTACAAAGAAGTGCGTGCACCAACAGAAATTAAAGAAAACTCCGTACGACCTCTGTCGGCGAAACAGAGAACGTAAAAGGAACCAATAATAAGATAATAACAAATTTACTACAGGAATTAAATTACATCAAAAACTAGTAAATTACAAACGAAAAACCACGGATCGATTCTTTAAGGAAAATCAAACTTGTAACAAAATTATTATGCAAATTCCCAAAAATAATCGACCACACTTTTCCAGGAACAAAATAATTTAAAGTGACTTGCAATAATTTGACGTGGGTAATATTTTCTCCTGGTAGCTATCAATCTTATCTCTCCTTGCTATGAGTCATCCTGTCAGTCAGTTTTACCTTTCTCCTTTTATGCTTAAAGTTAAACTCGTCGGTAGCTCATACTTTGCAACACATTCGACATCGTTCAAATGTTTACCAACAACGTAATTGAAGTTTTTTTTTAAAACGCGCCAGTAAACAAAAAAATTTCTTTTCTGGTTAAAACCCCCTTTACAACTCGATCTCGCTAGCTTTTTATCTCGAAAATTCACACTCAATTATTGAAGACCATACTTTCGTTCACGTTCGCTATGAAGCGGTATACATATGTGTAAATTTTCTGATGTTCAGAAAATTCAAATTTGTAAATAAAACTTTTGAAAACCGCTAGCACCACCGGTTACAAACTCCATAATAACTTCGTTCACGAATGAATAATTTAAAAAATATCATCTTTAATGGTATGGATAAATGCAATATTATAGACAACTATGATTAGATTCACTTGTAAATCTTATGGTAATGAAACTGTTCATCGAATTAACAATAATACATTTGTATAGCACTTTTCAGCCAGAAGCTTACTAAAAGAATATTTTTGCTACCTTTATCTAAGGTAACGTGTTGGTGTAGGTACTTTAATACATTTCTATTTGTGTTCCTCGTTGAAGAAAATTCAACCCTGCTAAGCAGTGAGAAACAACGGTGCTCTGTTAGCAGCGAGTGGTTACGTACAAAGTTCAAAGTTGCGGTAGGTCTTACCCTGTTTACAAATGTTTCGGGAACACACGCTTTGTGACGATTTTATAATTGAACCTAACATTTTCAACCTTTCCAATTTTTACCATGTAACCCCATGATAAACAAATAGTCCGCTGTCAGTAATATCACAGATCTACACATACACAGATTGCTAACCTTATGCATTTTTTGGGAAACAAATTTAGGTATACTTAAAAGCGCCCTCTATTGCGGAGCAGTATAAACATGTACCGTTTAAAACTGTAATATGACGCTTATGGGTTTATGCGTTAGATGTCGCTGAAACAAAATTAAAGCGCTAAAGTTTGCACAATTCGAATTCCTTAATATTCGTATTATTACAGTGGTATGATATGATAGGAGGTACGTTGAGCCATAATTGTTTAATTTAGCACTGGAGCTACTCATTCGTCGTAAGGGAGTTATTAACAGCGGGTCCCTGTGGTCACAGATACACACGAACATAGGGCAGGTCCTTAAAGAATCGTGAAGGTTTTTTGAAGTTGGCGGAAACTATTTGCGGCTTTAAAGGTCTTGACAGATTGCTAACCGCAAAGGCATACTTACAAACTATGTATATCTCTGCCATCATTAACGTTACACTCTCCGATAAGATATAAGATAGGGAGGTTATTTTCGAAAAGTTGATAGTTTTCGAGTTGTAAGCACAAAACTGCTAAAAAAAATATCTTTTTCAACTTTTTTGTATTTTTTTGCGTTTGTTGCGTCATGAAATTTTGTTAGCAAACCTCAGATTCGGATTCAGCACCCCAAAAAACATATAGAATCAAATAAATCAAAACTACCCCACAACTTACCTGGTAAAATACAATTAAACTGAATTATATGATTATATGCACACTTTACCGCTTTAAATTTTTTGCAGCGACATCTAATGCATAAATCCATAAGCGTCATATTACAGTTTTAAACGGTACATGTTTATACTGCTTCGCAATAGAGGGCGCTTTTAAGTATACCTAAATTTGTTTCCCAAAAAATGCATAAGGTTAGCAATCTGTGTATGTGTAGATCTGTGATAATAGGCTTTACTGGATTTGGATTTTACACCTACCAACGTATGTTTAGATTTTACAACAAGCCATTTAATGGACGGTGTATTATCTTTTTCAACGGAAATAGTTTTATTCACAAAGACAATGATTTTTATAAGCAAACGTCAATTGACATTTCCATGGCAATCGTGAAATTAGGAACACCCAGCCCACTTAATTAGACATGTATTCGAGGATAACGTCAATATGATTTCTTTGTATTTCCTATTTTTAAATTATACTGCAGGTATAATAAAAAATACTATAAGATACACGTGTATAATTGGTCTTTAAAGCACATGCAACGTTAAAGGCACTCCGCTTTGCGTCGTGCCCTTAAACTCGTTGCGCGTGCTTTAAAGACTTGATTATACACGATTTTCCCATCGCCACTGTTCAAGTAGACATTTAAAAGTATTGCTATGCGAGGCACTTGTGCTGTCAAACTTTAATTACTGTGATGTGATTTATGGCCCCTGCTTGACTATTAGAGACGAATATAGAATTCAAAAAATGCAAAACTCTTGTCTTCGTTTGATCTTTGGAATCAAAAAGCATGAACGCATTACTTACAAACTACAAGAGCTCGGTTGGTTAAATATGGCTAATAGGAGATTACTACATTCAGCTTGCATATTTCACAAAATTGTTATAAATCAAATGCCACCGTATTTATACGATCTTATAAAATTTAGTTCAAATCCGCGGTTCTATAAATTATTGACACCACCATTTCACAAAACACGCAGGTATGAAAGATGTTATGCTTATAATATTGCCAAAGTATACAACGACCTCTCAAATGA